ATATATATATATAATAAAGCCTATAGAGCCTAATATGTGTCTCTAAATGTCCTTCACTGTGGGTTCATCCACTGGAGCCCGTTAACCTACCAATAGTCCCATGCTTAAAAGAGATTGTTTCTGTCCCTCCCAGCAGCATCTGTTGCCAGAGTTTCCTTAAGTGGAATTGGAGCTTCTTACCCACTTCTTCGTGTCTATGCTGGGATTTTTTTTTTCTGGTTTGAGCTTGCATGGGATTGTGCATGCTGTCACCATTGCTGTGAGTTCATATGACTGACCGACCAGTTGTCTGGAAAATGGTTTCCTTGTGGTCGTCTTATCATCTCTGGCTCTTGCGATCTTTCCACCCTCTCTTCCACAATGATGCCTGAGGCTTGGGAGGCAGAAGTTTGATACAGGTTCCTATTCAAGGATAATAAGCACACTGCGGCCTCTTGTTCTCTGCACATTGGCCAGTTGTGGGTTTCTGTGTTAATCCCTATCTGCTGCATAAGGACTTCTCTGGTGAGAGGTGTGAGATGCATTAATCTATGGATATAACAAGTCATTAAGAATCTGTTTAAAAACTAATAAATGGCCGTGAGTGGGGGCTTCCTGAGAGAGGTGTTAGAGTGCAGCGATACAAAGAGGGAGAAGGGAACATTATACTAGGAAGGGTTAAATGGGGTAGGGAATGGGAGGCAGGGCAGAGGAAGGAGTCTGGGGAGGGATGAGTAACACTTAAAACCTTTAGAAAAAAACAGATGGAAACCTACCACTATAGAAGCTTCTTAAAGTATGTACATATACATCATTAAAAGAGATTAAAAGGAGTTATCCTATATTAGGGTCATTACCCTTTTTAGACATCATAGGCTAATGAAAGAAGAAAAAAAAAGAATCTCAAAGCCAGGAATAGACTCCCTCTCTAGAAGTTATTGACCAGGGGTCCCATAAACCCTCAAACAATACTGGCCATTGCCTCTGCTCTTGGTTACCTACCAGAACTGGATGGTGAGACCCTATTACTGAAGACACTGCACACCTGAGCTGTA